GTTTTAAGTAATGTCTTAAGACGCTAATGCAGCCCTCTGATTGGTTCGTGACTTATTAAGACCATACTTAAGACGGTCTTGAATATAAGATCTGACTATGAATACCGGTCTATGTCTTTGGTTGCAACACTTTTTAATTCGATGGTTTTCGGAACGCGCAAAAATTCTGACAGAGCAGACCACCATCTTTGAGCGCCTATAGTCAACGGTTATGATAGGTTACGATAAAGCTGGAAACACAAGAGACACATGCAATAGGCACAAGCAACAGGGAATAACGAGCCGTCCAATCAGAGCTTTGGGGTATAAGTTCGATATTATATCCCAGAGCTCTGATTGGACGGTTCGTTATTCCCTGTTGCCTGTGCCTATTGCCTGTGTCTATTGTGTTTCCAGCTTAACTGTCAAAGTAATGCAGAATCGTCTTGTACACGGTGAAATAAAAAAAATGTATTCGTGCGCAGCGGAAAATTCGTAAGATACCCTTCGAATACCATAAAATATATTATGGTAAGTGATAATAAAGTAAACGCTAAATTTGTTTTATAAATTTATTTATATTTCTAAAAATATGTTTATTGTTATTAAAAATTCAAAACTTAAAAGTAATAATATAACATAATATTATTCCAGCGAGCCTGTGATATCAAGGCAAGTGGAAGAACACTTTACGCAGTCCTTCGCTTACGCATCTGCCGCCGATGTCACAGGCTATCGGAAGCAATTTTCCTACACTTCTAGGGGAATAGGAAAATCGACTGAGTCGCAATATTTGCAAAGATTCTCTCTCTCTCTCTCTCTCTCTCTCTCTCTCTCTCTCTCTCTCTCTAAGCAATACAATAAAATTACTCATTTAACCGAAAATTTTTAGCTGCCAGTAGCCAGTATGTGGTGAAAAATATTAATAATGATATTGAATATCTAGAAAAGCAAGAAACTGAAGAAGGAGAAGAAGGCAAGGAAAAAGAAAAAGAGGGAAAAGAAGGCAAAGAGAGAAGCGAGGAGAGAGAAGAGAAAGAAAAAGAAATCAAAGAAAGAGATGGGCAATAGCTCCAACGATAGTGATAGCAGCAACAGCAGTGACGAGGAGGTTTGGATAGAAAAAAGCACTATTTCTGATACCAAAGAGAGGCACGAGTTCGGATGACAGTGGAGACAATAGTACGGTTTGGCGTATGAGTCTGTCGGTTACGTCATGAGTAGCAACAGGTAATGCATATTAAATTAGAAAATTTTGATTTAAATAATAACACATTTTAATAATAACACGAAATAACAATATCACGAAACAATATCACAATATTAACAATATTAACATCATCACAATATTAACAATATCACGAAATTCAATGATATTAACAGTCACTCTGTTTTCTTTTCCCCATTTCTGTATAACGCGTATTATCTGTTCTACTTGAGAATTGGATGTATTTTTCAGAATTTGTTTCACTTCCGGGCCCCGTAATTCCCTCCTCTCTCCGCGCGAATTTCCCGCGACGTTATCCTCATACACCCTATAATTCTCTCCCCCTCGACGTCATCCCCTCATCCTGTAACACTATCATATTCCCTGTGACGTTATCCCCTCATCCCGTGACGTCACTCCTTCCCCTTACCTGTGACGTCATCCCCCTCGCCCTGTGACGCCACTGTTAGTGACGTCATCCCCTCCTCTCTCCCTGCGACGTCACCTCCCTCACCCTGTGACGTCACCCCCCTCTCGCCGCGGGTACCCCTCGCCTCACACTCCTCCTCGTTGCCCATGGTTTTGAATCCCCCTTGTTACCCTACTATAGAGAAAAATGATCTCAGTGAATGTTACGTCCTGAGTCGCGTGTTTAGTTTTAAAGCGGTCTCGAGGCGCTACATAAAATCGTGGGAGCGCGAGCGCGGAGCGGGGCGCGCGAGGCGAAGCCTTGACTTCGTATGAGATTCGTTTTTCGGCGTGTGTTTACGCGTTGAGGCAGGCTGCTGTCACCAGTGCCTTTGTAAAGGCATGAATTGAATTATTATTTTGCTCGCGAGATATCTCTTATTATATCTAACTCATTTTAAGCTTCCGTATTCCCTTATTATGCACAGGAAGGAATAAAATCAGAGAGTTTAGAGGAATTGTCAGATAAAGCGCCCGTAGTACACGAAGATGTACGAGGAATTAATGAAGACAAAAATCTCTTTCCTGTGGGCAGCTGTGATATTTTCATCACACGCTTCGCTCTATCCACGCTCTCTGTTTCCTGTGCGGGAAAGGGAGCAGGGAAGGATAGTGTTGTAGCCCACGAGTGCACGATTTAGTCTTGCATTTCAGCATAGCAACGAGTTGACGGAAATGCAAGACTATCACCGCGAAGCATTTGCGGAAATGCAAGGTTGCAAATTTGTCAGTTGCGCGGGTACACGCGTCGCGCTATTTGCATGACCATATATGGTCACAGCGAAAACCGAATTGAGACATCGCGACGCATATATATTCGGTGGTCTTAGCGCGGACCGCGAGTCTCGTATAAAAAATTAAAAAGCGAACGATACGTTACGCGCGTCGGAGAAACCGGAGCCCGACAAGTTCCGGTTTAACAAGTGTTGAAGTGTTGAGTGTGCTGACGACCCTTCACCCTGTACCCTCGCCTCTCCTCGTGGATCCTAACCCCCTGGGCGGACCGGATCCCAAATTTACGTGTGGTTGTACCGAGAGGTACAACAAAATTGGTGGCAGCGGTGGGATCACACCGAAATATCCTAGGAAAGAGTCCAACGAGCTTCGCCGCCAGAGGAGACGCGCTAAGACCCGTAGAACCGCGCAGTGGTAACGGGTCGGAGAAAAACCAATTCTCCGATTACGATCTCTCAAATTAAGAAGAAGAGACGTAAACATACGACGAATGCATGTCGTAGTACAGGCTAGCTACTAGCCTAAAGTGAACAAGTGGCTCGACAACATAACTCAGGAGTCGGCGCCCGGAGCTACCAAAGTACCACGGAAGGCTGCCAGGACTCGAGGCGCTACCAGGACCATCCCCCGACCTTGCACGAGACAAAGGGGAACGGCGCAATATCGACAGCCAACACGGGCTGCAACAGAAGTAACATCGAGGGACTTCGCAGGACAACCTGCCGAGCAGCTGAAGGAGCCGAGCAGCGCGACCATGATGCGAGCGATTCTACTAATGTAAGTCGTATCAGATTCGTGCGATAAGACCGTGAATGTCCGAAACCAGAGACACGCCGAGTACTGACCCGCGTAATCCTAGGTTACAAATAGAAACCGCCGAGCGAGCGAATACCGACTTGCCGTTAAGCACAACGAGCCACGTGAGTAGGGAAATCCGCGATAATACAAATAGCACTTCAAGCCAATCGGTAGGAAGCGAAGGAAGCCTACCCACTTATGTAATAACCGATCGCGAATTTCCGCTAGATCTAATCGATTTTAGCTTAATAATACCAGACGCAGACAGCGCAAGAGTAATACCGACAGACGTACCACGCGCGGGAACCACAAGTAGCGAACGCGACCGCGCGCTGATAATACGCGACGAAAGTTCAAATAATTCAGACGAGATAAATAAAAACAGCCGTGACATGACGACGCGCACTCCACCCAGAGAACATTCTGTCCCTGAAAGTATTCTATCCGAAGGCGAAGAGGACACGCAAGATTTACTTAACCCACAAACTCGCGGCAGCGAAGGAAATAGACATAATAGGAGAGTAAGATTCCAACCAGCCGAAAATCCTTTATTACTCGAGATCTTACACACACTTCAAGAACTAAAAGTGCCACTCGCTAACCGGGATTCCACCGATCTAACCGCGATAGATCACAGCAGAACCCTGCGGACAATAGAAGATAATTCGAATCTCCCGTTAGATCACACGTACCGCGAAACGGGAGGAATTCCAGGCCCACCCAGAGGATCACTACATTTCTTAACTTTGAAGGAAGCTCGTAATATGGTCCCCGAAATCGATGGCACTTCAAGAGACCGCGTAAGAGAATTTCTAAAAGCATGTAAGTATGTAATGAGACATATTTACCCAGCGGATGAGTCCACTCTACTGGAGGCCGTATTATGCATAAAACTTGAGGGGAAGGCAATGAAGGCTTTTGAAATTCGAAATATCTCTACTTACGAACAGTTAAGAGACGAGTTAGAAACTGAATATTTAAGCCGGAGAAGCACCGCGCATTTACAGCTCGAATTCAACTCATTGAAACAAAAACCGACAGAAAGCGCACAAGAATTCGGACGTAGAGTAGACACCTTGGCTACGGAACTATGCGATTCTATGGAAGAGGGTAAACATCATACACGCGAACAACAACAGGCCATTATGGAAAATATTAAAGATCAGGCTCTATTAAATCATCAAATCGGATTACGCGAGGAAATCAACACACTAGTACGATCACAACATTACCGAACGTTACAAGAAGCCATTGTTGGTGCTAGTTCAGAAGAAAAGATAAAGGGTTTTAATGATCGATATCGCGCGCAACCACGGGAAAAGAAATTTAACTCACCCCCTACGCACAATTCAAGAAGCACTGCACCCTAGTGTGAGAAATGCGGAAAAACGGGACACTATGGACGCGACTGTCGTAGCAGCCGATATGCAACACGATTCTCTTTACCTAAGCCGGAAGATTAACCGCGTGTAAACTCCGTCAACAAATATTACAATCATTGTAAAAAACCCGGTCACATGCGTAACGAATGCTGGTTGATACATGGCAAACCCGCAAGAGAAAACACTCCGCGCCGTGGAATTTACCATAACAAAAACTCGCGCGGAAACGATAAACGCGAATATAAGAAGGAGGATAGAAAAGCTATAAAGAACTCTGACTCGCAAAGCAGCAACGACGAAGATAAAGGTAGAACGAACGTGAAATCAACGCGTACCGTCGACGACTATTACGCACGTAAAACGAACACCGCTCGAAAATACGGGATTAGATTTAATAATTTTACCCGCTCGAGAAGCTGAAAAGGGAAAAATAAGTTTTCTATATGATACAGGAGCAACTATATCAATAGTAAAATTAAAAGCTCTACGAAACGAAACCGCCATGTATGAAAATAAAACCAAGCTGATCGGAATCAGTGGACACTATCGAAGCGATAGGAACAGTATATACAGAGTCATCGAAAAGTATCGGACCCCCCTAATATCTTCAGTTAGAATGCATTTTGGAGAAAATGTCCAATAGCAAAGTTGTATGGTTTCAAGCGAGGAGTAAGATAATGACCTTGACTTTGATCTTGACCATGTCCTTTAAGGTCATTTCAAGGTCATTTAAACAACGGTGAAATTAAACACCCCGTGTACGTGATTAGAGACGATATATCAATAGAATACGAAGGTATCTTAGGAATCGATTTTATTAAAAAATACACTTCCGGATGCGACTACGAAAAAATGCAAATCCGTATCGGAAATACCAAATTTAGACTTCGCCCCTATAAGCGAATAAAGCTGGGACCGCGAAGTGAAACCATTGTCCAAGCTACAGTAGACCGAAACATAATCGGTGTGACGCGTGCCGAAGAGATCGTGCCAGGAATCTTTATAGGGAGCTGCCTAGTAGAGCCCCGTGAATATCTATGCCCCGTGAGTATAGTAAACACTACCGAGAGCGAAATAGATATTCAAATACCACACGTAATAATTGAAGAATTAGCAGATGTTATTAAATCGCAGAACGTTAACCACGCGACTAGCAACGACGGAATTAAATCTCCGCGTAAAGAATCTATTAAGAACTATAGAGTCAAGAATCTATTAAGAACTAATCATTTAAATCAAGAAGAAAAAAATTCCTTGATCCGCATATGCGAAGATTTCAGCGACGTATTCCATCTAGACGGAGAACCGCTGACGTGCACTGCAGCCGGAAGGGAACCTCCGCCTGCTGCCCCGCATTCAGCCTCTCACGCAGAAGAAGCGCAACGGTACGCGGTAACATAAGTATAAGGTAACAATAAGTTAAGCGCGAAGGGCCACGTTTTGCACCAATTATAAAATGATAAAATAAAAACAAAAAAAAAGAAAATAATAAATAAATAATAATATTAATTAATAAAGACATATAGACATATACTTAGCTAGTTTAGTAAATAGATACGTAGATATAGATATGTAAACATATTCAATGATTAGACATAATAAGCGTTAGAGTTAAGTGTTCAAAACCGCAATAAGAGCGGCTGCCCGCATAAGGGCTAAAATCAATTAAGACTAAAAGTTTAATTTTACGCAGTAAGAAATAGTTTAATTTGTTAGAGGCACTTAGCCTCAATAGTTTCGGAAAAACCGAAATATGCAAATATAACGTGTCAAAAGCGTGTTAAATGGCAGAACGCAATTAGGGCCGAAAAAACAGGGGGTCCGCGAAATTGCCAATTTGTAAAGAAATAATTGCGGGATCGAAAAACGCGACCGCTATGTCCAAGTACGACTAAAAACGAATACGGTAACCGAATAAGGACGGATAACACATACCGGGTGTATCCGAAATCCTGTTAGGGAACCACAGACTATGAGCTATCGAAAAACGCGACCGCTATGTCTGGATAGGACTAGGAACGATCACGGTAGCCAAATCTCGACAGATAAGATATACCGGGTGTGCCCAAAATCCTGTTGGGGCACAGGAAATCTCAAGCTAGCGAAAAACGCAACCGCTCTCGCTAATAGGGTTCGGAGAACGACACACTCACCGAGTATGAATCGAGTACACATACCGGGTGTGCCCGAAATCCTGTCAGGGCATGACAAATTGTAAAATAGCGAAGAACGCGTTCGCTATAGCCAATAGGGCGCGGAAAGCGACATGATCATTGAGTACCGACTCGACACATATACCGGGTGTCCATCAAATCTCGTTATGGCACCAAAGGGATTAACAGTCATAAGTGTAAATATTGTATATAGATAGGGGGGTGCAGCCGGGAAATCTTGCTAACCTGTAAATAGAATTTTATACTTACCTGTAACTCCAGCGGGAGAACACGGGCGGCAGCATCCTTCCAAGATGGCGAGTACCTGAAAATAAAAGAAAAGCTTAGATTAAAAATTGAAATAACTACGAAATGCAGGGACATAATTAAACGATATAGCTAATAAGGATAAGCGAACAGCGTGAGCGCTCACAGCGCGCAAAGCGAACGCGATGATGCGAGCGCAATGGAGGAGACAAGCAAACGATGCGAGCGCGTACAGCGCGAGAAGCGAATGCGCAGATGCGAGCGCGATGGAGGGGATAAGCGGTCGAGATAAGAAGGCGAGCGCGGGATTAGCACGGAGGCACTTACACTAGCGCTCGCACTGGACACGAGGGAGTCCAGCAGCGGGAGTTGAGCAGTGACAATTCGGCAGCGAGCAGTAGTTAACGGGCGGATGAGTGGAACTCTCTTTGGGGCTTATCGGGTTTCGTCGTCGGGGACCATTGTCCGTAAGTGAACCGCGTCGACCGATGGTCATCCGGGAGTGGTGAACGGGACTGTTCCGGGCGCGTATCGGATAGCAGCGAGCGCTGAAGCGAACGGGGGTTCACACCCACGTTAATAGTCTGGCGTTAAGCGAATAAGCGTGATGAACGAAAGCCGAAACTGCGAGAAGTGCGTAGAATGAGCGGCGCGCGTATCTGGCGCAATCACCCGGAGCGGCGTTACGCGAACGAATGTAAACGTGAGCAATAGAGACTCTATGAATAAAACAGTGTTATTAGTTGCCTGCATACAGTGATTTATCATTCAATAAAAACCTTCCCCTCTGCGACCGAGACAACTCGGGGTAAGCCGGTTCAGTGGTGCAGGGGACAAGTGAGGCTGGTGACTTCTGGGGTCAGAAGTCTAGACCTTCTCCTTTGGAGGTTAAAAGGAGTGGCGACCGGACGCAGAAGAAATAAAGGGGACCGACTAGCGTAAAAGAGCTTCGAGTCCGGCTACAGAACAACACAAGTATCGCATGAGATAACGACGCGAACTGACACCGCGAGCGTAAACGTGCGACCGTACTGCCTGTTCCTGAGAAACATAAAAATGAAGTAAATAAGCAAATCCAGGAAATGCTAGAGCACGGAATCATTCAACCAAGTATTAGTCAATGGAACGCACCACTCTTAGTCGTACCAAAAAAGGCCGACCAACCAGGAAAACCGAAATTA